TTCTCTTAACTTTATACTGTTTTCCTAGTTTGTCTTTTTGCATCTTCAAAGGCATATCAGACATAAATAGTCTGTGACATTACTAACTTATTCATATTTCACCTACTGGAAGAATGTATTAATTATAGAAAGTATCTGATTTTCGATAGTTTAAGAGAACCTTTCAATGATATTGCCTGCCATATGAGACAGTACATTTTAATTTTCTTCTGTGTTTACTGGTCTGCTCAATTAATTAGTTGTTTTGCTTTACATTGTTTTGAGTCCATTTCAATTATTTCTATCTCTCCCTTAAATAATTAACTTTATCAATGATTTTGTCAATGTATTAACCTAGAGTTGGCCATTGTAACTACATTATCTTCTTTATAAATTATCTGTATATCTGGAATTATTTGGTCTCTCTTATTTCTCATTTTTCTTAAGGGTAAATGGTGATTGGTGATTCCCTATTTTTTTTTTCCATTAGATTACCATAAAGTTGATCTAGTTGATCTACTTTATCTATTTTGAGACATAGGGAGGGGGTTAGTTTGGATATAACTTCCTGGAATAATTTATTCCATTTTCTAATTATTTTCTATTTCAATTTATTTCAGTTCTTATCTTCATAATTTGCATTTACCTAGTTCCCCAGGTTGGTTTTGGAGTCTCAGTCTAGTATCTTAAATGGATTGAATAATTTAATGTTATTATTATTTCTTGTTTAATAAAAAATTGACTTACTGTTATGAGCTTGCCTACGAGTATAGCTTTGTCACTATAACATGTTTATGATGAAATTTTCTTAGGTTTCTTTCTAAATAATCAGGAATTTAGAGCCTATTATTCTAATCATTTAGAAATTTTAATCTTCATTATTGTTTTTACAGGGATTTTAAATTTGTATTTAATTGATATTAAATTTGAAGAGTTGATCTTATAATCTTTATTTTAAAAGATTTAAAACTTTATTGTGCTAACTTGCAATTGCAAAAATATGAAACCAACCTAAATGCCCATCAATCAACGAATGATAAAGAAAATGTGGTATGTATACACCACAGAATACTACTCAGTCATAAAAAGGAACAAAATAATGGTATTTGCAGCAACTTAGATGGAGTTGGAGACCATTATTCTTTTTTTTTTTAACTGGAGATCATTATTCTACGTGAAATGACTCAGGAATGGAAAACCAAACATTGTACATCCTCAATTATAAATAGAAGCTAGGCTATGAGAATGCAAACACATACAAATTATGTAATGGATTTTGGGTACTAAGGGGGAAAGGGTCGGAAGGGCTGAGGGATAGAAGACCACACATTGGGTACAGTGTACACTGCTCGGGTGACCTGTACGCCAAAATCTCAGAAATCACCACTAAAGAACTTATTCATGTAAGGAAAAACTACCTGTTCCCCAAAAGCTGTTTGAAATAAAATAAAATAAAATAAAATAAAGTAAAAATTTAAAAATAAAGTATACACTTAAAAGAAGAAAAAAATAAAACTTTATTGGGCTAATTTTTGTGGCCTTAGAATAAGGTGAAAATTTTTATATCTTTCATGAAAGCTTAAAGAACATATTTTATTTTAAAATATTCATATTCTTATTATTTTATTTAAATTTATCTATGTATGATATATTTATGTTTTTTAGTCTATTTTAACTGCCAAGAGGTATGTTACTTTCTCCCAAAGCAAACGTGTTTCTGTAAATTTCCCACTTTATTTCTAACATTTTTAGCTTTATATATTTTGATGTTATGTTATTCAGCAAATAAATTTTCATGACATTTTATCTTCACTGTGGATTGTAAAGTGACACTCTTTGTCTCCTTTAATAGTATTTGGTCTGGAATAAAATTTGTCTGAACTAACGTCGCCAGCGCTGCTTTTTTTATTTCTGTATTTCCCCACTGATATTTTTAACCACTTTTTCAACTTTGTCTTTTTGTTTTATGTGGTATTTACGACATTGAGGTAGAGATGTAGTGTTGAATACAATAAGAAAAGTTTGGCCTTTTCGATTGTTGGGAAATATCATTAATTATACAGAATCTTTAAAAATTATCTGAAAAGTGCCCAGTAGAAACCTTTTGTTGGCAGACACTGCACCATCTCTGTGTGGTTTCCTCCAGGAGGCCAAGCTGTGAATTGTCAGTCCCTGGCCTCATCTCACTCCTGGCTATGTGCCTTGGCTAAACCAGCATGCCTCTAGGCTAGAGAGTCAGTTTTGGTACTCAGAATACAAGTAAAATAAGACAGGTAAATAAGATGTAACTACTAGGTAAAATCTACATGTTTACAGTAGTAATATTAGGTACTTTTCCATGTGTACCTGGTAGATACCCACTGCCATTTTCTCCTGTACTCTCAGAATAACAGTAGAGGTATCACTGATATCTACTGATGACAGTAGAGTTATCAGAGTTGTGTTGTACGGGGAATAAAATTGCAGAAAACTAGAGAAACTCATATTATAGATTTTAAGTGGCATCCTCTCTGCAAAGGCAGGCTTAGACAGGGACCTTGTCTACAGTGCCATGGGAGGTGTCAAGCATCAATGCTATATGTGAAGAGATCTGCTCTAAGCTCTTTGCATGTACTTAAAATCTCTGTACCTCAATATCCTCATCTGTAAAATAAGATTACATGAAGCAATAGAGTGTGCATAAAGTGCTTAGAGCAAATCTGTTGATATGCAGTAACTGACAGGCAGGGGTTAGCTAACATTGTTACCGACTTGGCCATCTTGTTTCGTATCTGCTTTGCATACTGATTTGCTATTTCTTCTATTGAATATTTTGTTTATTATTTGTATTTATTATTTTGGTCTGCATTTTGCTTTTCCTCATTTTATCCCAGTAGTTTGGAAGGAATCTTTTCAAAATTTTACTTTGGTTTCATTTTACATCTTTGAATCGCTTTTTCTCTGGTTTTCAAGATTTCATGTCAACTCTCATCCGCTTTATAAGATGAACAATTTATTGTGTTTATGTTTTTCATGCCTCTCTATAAACCCATTTTCTATTCAGTTAGCACTGCATAATTGAGAACTATCTCTTGAGAATTATATTGACATTTGCATTCAAATTGGAAGGGTATTTACAGTTTTTGACTTAAGATCAATTGTTTTCTCAAAATCACTTTTAATACCATGGTTCCCCCATTCTTGAGTCGTTCATCTCAGTCAGTCCTAGTAGGATGTAGATCACATTCAAGTTCCTTCTCCCTCAAATGAGAGTTTAAGCCTTTTTTTTTGTTTTATTTTGTTTTCATGTCCTTTTCTTGCTTTTTTTTTTTTTTAACCTTTACCCACGAGTGGCCATTTGGCTGATGACAACGCTCTTGGGTTGCACACATTTCCCTGAAAATACTGTACAAGTTGCCCCATTTTCTGGCATTTACTACTTTCTTCTAGGTGTGAATCCTTTTTCCCTTATCTTTTCTTAAAATACAGTAGGATTTTTGATCTCCATATTTAGATCTTTTCAGTTTCAGAAAATTGTGTCTAATTATACCTTTGATGATTGTTTTCTTTCACTCACTTTTAATCTTTAGAAACATCTACAATTTATGTATATTGTATCAGTTCTCCATCTCCCTATTCCTTTTATCATCTTTTACTTTGTATTCCTCTGATGTCTACTGGATGCTTAATAAATATTTCTTTTAGTAAGACAGAAAAGAATGAAGAGAGAAAGGAAAAAAGGAAGGAAGGAAGGCAGGAATCTGGGGACATGTTTTCAAGTTTATCCTACTCAGCCTTGATTTAACTTTCTGATCATTTCTGTCTTAATTGTGGGAAGTTAGCATTTTGCCTCCTATGGTCGAATAGTAAGTTCCGTGCAAACTTTTCTTGTACCAGGCAGTTTCATTTATTTTTATATTCATCTGTGTTGTGGTTGTTGTTTTCAAAATGGTTTTTAAATAGTGTTTTAGGGCCTCAACTTTTGGTATCTTACCAAGCATTCTACATGCTTTCCCCACACCTAGCATATACAATAAATCATTTTCAGTATAATGATGTTTTTATTTTTGTTCTCTAGTATTTCCCAGTCACCCCCATTGACTTCCGTTTTTTGATAGACACTCCCAAGTGATAACACATGAAATTGCTAGTTTGTAACAGGTGTGCCTCTGCTCAGGCACTCCTAGAGCAAGGTGGGAATCATCTCCTAATCTATCTATTTGGTTCTCTGAAACTTTAAACCAATGACTCAATATAACATAGAAATAGCCTTCATTGTATACACTGTTTCCAGCCCCAACACAGCCCTCTCCCTGTTATGGGTTATGGCCCTGGAGATACAGGGGGTCCTGCCCACCCTCACTGCATGCTTTTATTTCCTATGAGTGGATGTCAGTGGGATAGAACAAGACGCAGGAGTCAACTGCCCCTTTCAAGAACAAGAGATGCTTTAAATAAATAAAACTACTTTTATGATTGGTATAAAACCCAAGTCTCTGGGACAGATGGAGACAGTGTGACAGTGTATGTGTGTGCATCTATGGGTATGAGATAAAGAGGGGAACACATTTTCATCCTACATTCTCTCATGGGTGAAAAATATTGTTCTGTTGTCTACTGTTTTTCTTTTTTCTTTTTTTTTTTTTTTTTTTCTTTTTTGAGATAGGATTTCACTCTAGCTCATACTGGAGTGCAGTAGCACAATCACAACTCACTGTAGCCTCAATCTCCCAGGTTAAAGCCTCTTCCAAAGTATCTTGGACTACAGGTGCACACCACCACACACAGCTATTTTTTAAAATTATTTTTCTAGAGATGGGGTCTCACCATGTTGTCCAGGCTGGTCTTGAAGTCCTGTGCTCTTCCTCCTGCCTCGGCCTACCAAAGTGCTGGGATTACAGGGATAAGCCACCTCGCCTAGCCACCACTGCCGCCGCCTCCTCCTCCTCCTCCTTTTCCTGCTCTTCCTCTTCCTCTTCTTCTTCTTCTCCTCCTCCTTCTTCTTCTCCTCCTCCTCCTTCTTCTCCTCCTCCTCCTTCCTTCTCCTTCTTCCTTCTCCTCTTCCTCTTCTTCTTCCTCTTCTTTGGAAAAGGAGTGGAATTTATAGTTCTGCTGCTAAGACATTACTTTTATTCTTTGTTAACTTCCCATTTTGAAAAATAATCACTTCTTCCTAAAAACCCTTCACAGCACCACACCCAAAGGCAATCAAAGAAAAATTCCAACCATTCAAGGGGACAGAAATAAGAATGAGCGGCTCATAGCAAACCAGAGGGGTGGCTACATGTGGTGGAACATGTTGGGGGAAAGCAGAATGCCCTTTAAACCTGACTTTATAATAATTCTATCATTCACATTTTTAAAATTAAACAACTTCCAGGAACAGAAACCTAGAAAATCCTGCAGTTCACAGTCATAGGCCTGACCCATGGAATTGCTATCATGGGCAAATCTACATGCATCCAAAATTATATAGAAAGAAAACATGGCTGGCAAAAACAAAACAAACAAACAAAAACCCTAAGTAAAAACAGACAATCCTCTATAAGCTAAACATTTTACCATGTCTGAGTTACAAAAAAAGTCCTCAATTATAGTTCTGCTTTGTAATACTCAAAGGTTACATAAATTATGGGTAAGCCAACTGTTTAAAAAAATTCTCTATAAAGTTGTCGTTTCAGATTAGGTTCAACCATAGTAACCCCATCTTCTGATTACCTTCATTAAATCCTAAATGAGATCCCACCTTTCACTCACAGCTCACATGCCACCTGTTCTGTTAATTACAGATACCCGAATCAAGCCTAAACCAATGGGATTCTGAGACCCAACAAGGACAGAGTAGATAAAAGACCTACTACCCACCTCACAGATGAGGCCACTTTGCGTATGCGTTCTGGGATGAGAGTGCTACATTTTAAACATTATTAGTCATAATTAGGAGTGCCTTTTTATTTTTAAAACATATTAATGTGAGGTTTATAACATATAACATTGTGCATCTTTTTTTCACTTAATGTGATATAACTTGCAAATATCTCCATATTACATGGCCGTCATAACCCATCATTTAAATAGCTGTATGATACCTCACACAATGCGTACACCATCATCTATTTCTTCCATCATTGGAGATCTGGAATGAGAAAGTTACTTTACAAAATCCCAAGGTGAAATATTTCTCTGGAAAAGTTTAATGATTCAGGCCCAGGGTTTAGGCTTTTTGACAACGTATAAAGACAGATGTTTCCCATTGAGAAAGGAGATGTACCATTCAGAGTTTGGCTTCTTGTTGCTCTTCTTGTTTTTGTTTTTAGCACAACTAACCAACTTTCCGTTCTTCTGTTCATATAAAGTAGTTACTTATAAAGTATAGTTACTTAGTTATATAAGCAGCTACTTTATATAAAGATGCCAGGGATTGAGTACCACTTCAGAAAGGAGTGGGGAATAATAAAACGGATGGACCCAGTCAAGCATACTTTTCCTGTTACTAGTTGTTGCACATTTTGATTCCTAACTCATAGTAAGAATGTTTTTTGGCCCTAGGAGCCAGCTGGAGAGGTTGAGGACGTTTGGGATAAAAGTGGAAGGCTCTCACCAGAGACCTCTAGGCCTCCTCTTTCCAAAACAACAATAAATGAGGATTATTCTCAATCATATGTGATTTATGTGAAGTTTGGCAATTTCTGGGACAAAATGAATAAAAAAAAAAAAAGATGTGCAGCCATATGAAATACCTCTGGTTAGGCTTTTTTGAGAATGACTAAATTCAAGATACAGATGTGAGTATGTGTGACTGTGTGTGCACGACAGAGATGGAGGGAAAGAAAGAAGGAGACAGGAAGAGAAAGAGGGAAGGAAGAGAAGAGAGAGTGGAGGAAGAAGAGAGACAGGAAGAGAGAAGGAAAGAAGAGAAGGAGAGAGAGGAAAGAAAGAGACAGAGAGAGGAAGAAGACAGAGAGAGGACATAGAAGGAGAGACAGGAAAACAGAAAGAAAGAGAGAACACAATATGGTGTGTTCTGTAGTTCCACGCAAGGGAGGAGGTGCTGGCAGTGAGAGCCACCTGCTCTGTCAAGGAGTATTTCACCACTGACATCATTGTAAAAGTCAGTTGTGTTACTACTTTCACCTTCTCTGTAGACAACACACCCACTGTGGCTTTCATTTAGGACAGACCACTTCCATTTATCCAGCTCTAGTATGCCACTGGCTTCCACATATAGTACCCGATCCCTACAAAACAAAATCAGCTGGGGTAGTTGTTGCTAACATCATTGTAAGAATGAGGAACATGAGACAGAATTTAAATAACTTGCCCTTAGCCATACAAAAATGAGAGGTCAAGTCAGGATTTGAACTCAGAACATACTAATTCAAAAGCCTGTATTCTGCCAAATATGCTAGCTCCATAGAGATGGCAATAGAGCTTTTATTCAAAGAGAAAAAGAGGAGAAGCAAGAAGAATCAGAGGTTATATATATAGAGAAAACTACAGAGTGGTTGCTTTTACATTGTTTGTTCTGAGATCTTTCCCTTCTTATCTCATTATGCATTGATTTTGTACTATGTTATTTTGGCTACCATCTGTTATGAGCTGAGTGGTGTCTGCCCAAAATTCCTATGCTGAAGTCCTAACCCCCAGTACCTCAGAGTGTAACTGTATGTGGAGATAAGGCCTTTAAAGAGGTAATTAAGGTAAAATGAGGCCATATGGCTAGGCCCTAATCCAGTATGACTGATGTTTCCATAAGAAGAGGAAATTTGGACACAGAAAGTGCAGAAGGAAGACCATGTGAGGACACAGGGAGAAGGAAGCCATCTACACGCCAAGGGGAGAGGCCTCAGAAGAAACCAGCGGTGCCAACACCTTGATCTCAAACTTCCTGCCTCCAGTACTTTGAGAAAGTTAAGTCTGTTGTTTAAGCCACCCAGTCTGTGGTATTTTGTTATTGCAGCCCTAAGAAACTAATCCACCATCATTAGACTTACACTGAGGCTGCACTTCTTGGGGTCTGCCCCACACTGAGACCCTTCAAAGCCACTCACCCAGGGTAACCCATTAGTTGTTTGTTTGTTTGTTTTTTGAGACAGAGTTTCGCTCTTGTTGCCCAGGCTGGAGTGCAATGGCATCATCTTGGCTCAATGCAAACTCTGCCTCCCAGGTTCAAGCGATTCTCCTGCCTCAGCCTCCTGAGTAGCTGGGATTACAGGAATGCACCATCACACCTGGCTAATTTTTGTATTTTTAGAAGAGATGGGGTTTCACCATGTTGGCCAGGCTGTCTCAAACTCCTGACCTCAGGTGATCTGTCCACCTTGGCCTCCCAAAGTGCTGGGATTACAGGCGTGAGCCACCTCGCCCAGCCTAGCTGTTCTTTTAGTGTCACAAGAGCAGGTCAACAGGGCCAAGCCCAGGATGTTGTTATCTGTGTCCAAGGCAGACATGGAGCTGGCCCCAAATCAACATTCCTATAAGGGCTCCACCCTACCTTTCTCTTTTGTCTTTGTCAAGTGGATATTCCCATAAATTTGTAGTAAAACATATACTGGCTGCCGTTGGCAAAGATGAGCTCTCAGTTTGGGAGCCACTGAATCAGGTCCTTAACCAAACATGAAATGACAGAACTGTTTCCAGCGGAGGATTAATTGAGCCAACTCAAGGCAAACACTACGTATTTTGGCATTGCTTTTGACAGATGGAAATAAAACAAACATTAGCAACCGGATTGCAGCTAACAATATGCAAAATTAAAGAAGGTACCTTTTTAACTTTGTCTGGGAGCCCACTGGCTTTTCTTATAAAATCTGCAGCAGGAAAAAAAGACAGAGCTGTTAATCTCGTTATGCAACCAGTTAGCACATGCAAACAAGGGGAATTAAAAGTCTTTGCATTCAGGGGAGGAAACAGATATTTGACACATATATTTATTAAGGAGACTGGACTGGAAAATAGCACTGCTGTATTAATCAGAAATGGTGTAGAAAATACTTAAATAATACAACAGAATGTGCACAGACAGCATAAGCTGCTTACGAATGGAAGCGTAAGGTCTGAGTATTTTTATTTAAAGGTTAAATTTTCAATTAATTTTTTTTCAGCTTGTTGCCATCCTTTCAAAGCATCACTGTTAATTGCTATAAAACAATGTCTGCCCCTGTTTGAATTCTGGACATGAAGACCTGAAGCTGTCAGCCATCTAATGGACATCAGGGTATTGGAGCAGAAATCAAAATTACTGTGTAAAAGCTGAACCAAAATGTCAGACTCTGAGAAGCCAGCGGATCAGTTAAAAGTCCCTTTTTTCATGTGTTGAGTGTCTTAATCTGGATGTGCCACTGTAACAAAATACTGAAGACTGGATAATTTATAATAATTTAAATGGATTTATTTCTAATACGATAATAATAGAATAATAGAATAATAGAAATGTCTTGTTTATTTCTATGACTAAGTTGAAGATCAAGGTTCTGGCAGGTTCCGGGTCTGGTGAGGGCCAGGACTCTGCTTCCAAGATGGGGCCTTGAGCACCATGTCCTCATGTGACAGAAGAAATAGAAGAGGATGAACCCACTCCTTCAGTCTCCTTTATAAGGGCCCTAATCCTATCTCGGAGTTCTGCTCTCATGATTTCACTGCCTCTTGAAGGCCCCCCTCTTAATGCTACCACACTGGCAGTTGAGTTTCAACATACAAAATTTGGGGGACACAATCAGGCCATAGAGCTCAGTTTCTTAGAAGTTAAATTTATAAGTTCCAGCCCATCATGGAAAAGTGCACATAGATATATTCTATTATTAGAATTTCCAGATAACCCAACTTCAGGGGGTTTGTGGCAGGCCAACCTCTATATGCATACTTACTCAGTGGATCGGCAGAGGTGAAGAAACCCACCACCTCATTTACAGTGGAACTGTATACCTGGGAAACCATGTCCCTGGCTGTAAGTGAGCTCATCAACTTCTGCTGGGTTAACTGGCATTTCAGGACTCCCTCTTCTCTGCTAACATCCTCATGGTCTGGGATCATAGGAAACAAAATTGAGAAAGCAATTGTGTCACTAAGAATTGGGATTGGAAATAGGGTTAAGTCTTGAGTGGAGGATAGGATTTTATAAAATAGTCACTATTTGAGTGATGAGTACTTAAAGCCCAAACTCCACCATTGTGCCATATACCCATGGAACCTGCATGTGTGCTTCTGAATCTAAAATAAATTTTTTTACAAAGAGGGTTTGGGGTTTAAATACATTTACATATGTTTTGGCTGGAAGACATATGTTTCTCGAGAGTCAGAATTAAGTGTGAGGATGATTTTAAATTGAGAATAAAGGAGAATGATGGCATTGATGATAAAATATAGCATTATGTTTAATTTAAAATAGCCTAGTATCATAGAAAGGACATGGATTTTTTTTTGATGAGGAAAATCTACTTTTGCAATTCTGTGCCATCTCTTAATATTTATGTAACTGTGTGCCAGTCACCAAAACTCTCAGTCTCAGTTTCTTCATCTGCAAGATGGGAATAATAATTTCTACTCTGTGCTTTCTGAACATTTTTACATTTATCCAGGAAAAATAAATGAACAGATGATAAATTGGATCAGTCCCTCCCCACCTCACAGGGACATCTGGCATTGTTTGGAGATATTTGTGATTGTCACAATTTGGAGCAGGGGGAATATCGCTACCAAAATCTAGTAGATAGAGGCCCAGGATGCTGCTATATACCCTAAAATACACAGGATCGTATCCTCACCCCCAGAATTATTCAGTTCAAAATGCCAGCAGTACTGACACCTGATACTGATACTGAAAAACTCTAAATTAGATATAGGTAGGTAGATGATACAAGATACATACACAGCAAATGGAGAAAATGATGATTTATGTCATATATCTCCATCATATTTATGTTTCCATCATATTTATTTATTTATCTATTTATATATTTATGTATTTATTTATTTATTTATCATAGATGTTAGCTGATTGCTAAGTAGATGAGAGATCATTCTTACATGAGACACACTAGGCATCAACAAAAGGAAGTGATTTTAAAATTAAACCTAAAGACAGGATTAATACCGTGAGGGTTGGGATAAAATAAAGGAAGTTGCTAAAGGTGAAATAATAATCTTAGAAGTGAAACGGTGCCAGCCACCATGCTAAGTGCATTTTAGATTGGTGTTCATTCAAGTCTAAGACAAGGATTCATGATAGATCTATGGTTTGGGCTAAGGTGGGGATTAAGGGTAGAGCTGTGAGACAACTCTGTCAGTAGATGTTTTTTTCCAAAGAGCAACCAAAGCCCAGCAATTGTATAGACAGATGCAAACAGCCCAGCCACCATCCAGTCCGAGTTCCTGCAGTTCAAGGAGGGGACAGAATTGATGTAACATTTACAAGTGAGGAAGGCCCACTCTACAATTGCTTTCAAATGTTTTCACGGGAACATTTTGTATAAATGGAATGATATCTTATGTAGTCTTCTGCATCTGGTTTTTCTCAGTTAGCATAATGTTTTTTTAGATTCATCCATGTTGTAACATACGTCAGTACTTCATTTCTTTATATGCCCAAATAATATTCCATTGTACAAATACACCACATTCTGTTTGCCCATTCACTTGTTGAAGGATGTTTGTGTTGTTTACTCTTTTGGCCATAATAAATAATGCTGCTATGAACTTTTATGTACAAGCATTTTGAACATATGTTTTTGTTTTTCTTTTTTAATTTTTTATTTCCATAGTGTTTTGGAGACAGGTTACATGAGTAAGTTCTTTAGTGGTGATTTGTGAGATTTTGGTGCACCCATCACCTGAGCAGTATGCACTGAACCCAATTTGTAGTCTTTTACCCCTCACCCCCTACCACCCTTTCCCCAAAGTCCCCAAAATCCATTGTATCAGCCCAAATGTCCATCAATCCACGAGTGGATAAAGAAATTGTGGTATATATATATACAATGGAATAATACTCAGTCATAAAAAGGAATGAATTAATGGCATTTGCAGTAACCTCGATGGACAGAAGACTACTATTCTGTGCTAAGTAACTCAGGAATGGAAAACCAAACATTGTATGTTCTCACTCATAAGTGGGAGCTAGCTGTAAGGATGCAAAGGCATATGAACAAATGTTTTTATTTATCTTGGGTAGACACCTAGGAGTGGAATTGCTAGATCACTTGGTAAATTTGTTTCCACTGGTGGGGTCTTGACCAGTCACAGATCCAGCCTCCTCCTCAGCATTGGACAGGGTTATAATGGGATAGCAAGAACCTACCTGCTAAATATCTACATCATTTGTTCCTTGGGAGATTTCCTATGAAAACATTTGAAACTCCACCTACCTTTACATGGAGGACAGCCTTTTAGTCACTACCTGAGGTTATGATTTCAATAAGATGATCCTCTAAAATACAAAAGATGAGAAAGTATCTTGGAGAGTTGACAACATGAAAGATGATAATGTGATATTACTGCCATCATTAGGGTTATTCACTTGTCATCTGCGACTTAAAGTGATGGTGATTTCAGCTTTGCCTGGTAGGATCAGGGAGGAGCTAAGATCTAATTCAAAGAGCCCTTGACTCTGATGTTTGTTCCCATCACTCCCACTTCCTAGTTATGGGAATTTCTGCAAAGCGATTTGCCTCCCCAAGCATTAGTTGCTTCCCTTACAAAATGGGGCCATCAACATCATTTCTCAGGGTTTCCACAGGATTAAATAAATGGCAGCACATTGAATCCAGTCCCTTGGGCAGTTGGGTAGGTGTTACCAAACCCTAATTTCTTTTCTTTTCTTTCTTTTCCTTTTATCTTTTTTTTTTTGAGACAGGATCTTGCTCTGTCACTCAGACTGGAGTGCAGTGCTGTGATCTTGACTCACTGTAGCCTCAACTTCCCTGGGCTCAAGTGATCCTCCCTCCTCAGCCTTGTAAATAGCTGGGGCAATAGGCATGCACCACAATGCTCAGCTAATTTTGTTTATTATTTGTAGAGACAGGGTCTCACTATGTTGCACAGGCTGGTTTTGAAATCCTGGACTCAAGCAGTCCTCTCACCTTGGCCTTCCCCAAGTGCTGGGATTATAGGAATGAGCCACTGCATCCAGCCAGGACCCTAATTTCAATCTAGGAAGGTTGTATATCTCAAGGGAAACCTCAAAGAACCAAAATGTGCTGGAGAATAGGCTGCTTCATTTTGCTCTCTTGTTTTTTTGTTTTTTTTTTTTTTTAATTTTACTTGGGATTTATTTGTATAGAATTTTGATATTTTTCTTTTAAATAGAAATACCAACAAAAATAATAGGACAACACATTGATATGGCCCTTTTTAAAGGTGCATTCATATTGATGATATCATTTAGTCTATTACATCTTGTGACTTTTGAGCCTCGTGGCTCACTAAAATTACCTGGGGAGCATTTAGTAACAGTCAGTGCCTGGGCCCCAACCCCAGAGGCTCTGATTCAATGGATTTTGGGAGAAGCTCAGGAGTCTGAATTCTTTTTACATCCCTGGTTATTCCCATGTAAAACCAGAACTCAGATCTGTTGCAATGGGCTGTGGAAGATGAGGCAGAGACTGCCTTCGCTAGTGTTCAGCTGGGAAGCTGGGAGAAAGGTTAAAGGACTGCTATCAGGATTTGAATCCAGGTCTCTCGACTCAGTTCAGTGCTCTGTTTCCTACACCGCATTTTCTAGGGATAAAATTGAACTAAAATGGAGGAGGTCCTGGAGAGAGAAAGGACAATGTTAAGTCCTCTTGGAAGAAATGTGCCAACGGCTGGCAATAATACATTCACCCAGAATAACTCCACAGGAGGGCCTTATCCTGCCTCGCCTTGCATATGTTGAAACCAGGGCATGGTTTCTTATAAAAATACTTACTGTGCAGAAGTTCAGTGAGAGGTAGGGATTCTAAGGGGATAGATAAATCTATGAGCAAGACCAGTGAGTTGGTAAAACACTCAGCTCAGCAGTTCAGAGCCAAAAACAGAAAGGCTTTGTGAGCAGGTAGGTACCTTTATTATGGTAATCAACTCTGGGCCCAAGAAACAATGAGGTCATCAGAGTTCCTGGGATGCTCCAGAAAGGTGGTAGTAGTAGGTGTCCTGGTAAGCACAGAAATCTGTGACCTAGTGTATAGCACTGAGGTGGGGCTACCAACTTCAGGCCTCTCTGCATCCAGGGCCACCAACTTCAGGCCTCTCTGCACCCAAGACTTCGTTAAGTTTTAGCCCACCAGTGAATCAATGTGAATTGATAGGGAAAATGCTGAACTGGAAGAAATACACTAAAAAAACATAAAATTTGAGAACAAAATGGAATTCAGATTATCAAGTTAAAGCCCTCATTTTACAGATTACAGAAAATGAAGCTCAGGGTAGAGAAATGATTTGCTTCAAGGCTACAGAGCTAAGTGGAGTGGCAGATCCAGGAGCCTCCCTGCTTGGTGGTTCTTCTGCCATTAAAAACCAACGAATCAAGAAACCATGGGCAAAACACAGGCACGCCCCAGTTACTGTTAGGAGGAAACAGTCTTCGCTCTCTCTTGTGGCACCCTTCCCTCTGCCTGCGGAGTGAGCCATCACTTTGGCTTCTACTCTGTGTTAAGGGGATCGAGGGACATCATGGAAATCTGGACTCTGGCCCTGGCTTTGCTGTGTGTCTTGGGGCAAGTCACTTTACTTTTCTGGGTCTCACATCTCCATAGGCAAAATACTGAGTGTGAAAAAATAATTCTAATGATACACTACCTGGTTTACCCTCTAAACCAGGGATTGGCAAACTAAGGACCAACTCTGGCCCATCACCTGTGTTTGTAAATAAAGTTTTACTGGAACACAGCCACACCCAGTCTTTAATGTACTGTCTAGGGCTGCTTTCATGCTATAATGGCAGAGTTGGGTAGATGCAACAGAGATCACCTTATGCCCCACCAAGTTGAACATATCCACTATCTAGACCTTTACAGAAATGTTTGCTCATCTCCATAAAAGAACATTCTATCTACTACCTCTGAGATACACACACACACACACACACACACACACACACACACACGTACATCTACCACATATTAATATATTTCCTGGACCATGTAATGTTGCTGCTTCTGTATTTGCTTTTAGTAGGAAAATATTTCAGACACATAGCTAATGCAGAACCAAATTCAATGAATGATATTTATAGCCCTCTAGGTTTAACAGATATTATTAATATTCAGTCAGATTGTATGTTTGCAAAACACTATGCCATAGGAATCCATATTTATAAAGAATCTTGATTTCTCTTACAATAAGGAAGAAAAGACAGACATGCATACATGCATAGGCATATATGTAAATGACCTGAAAAGTTCAACACTACTGTAGCATGACTGTCCTCACTTGATTTTGGTGTTCCAGTTTCTGATTTTTCATATGAGTAGCAAGGTGTTACTTATGAGATGCATAGTCTAAATTGCAAAACATACATTTTACCAGATATTCAGAAATAAGCATGAGTTTTTAAATCAACTATGTGGTTTAATTTAAAAGTAAAAGTGTAATTTTCAGTTATGAAATTTAGTTATAATTATCTTAACTGGCAATACTTAGAGGTACTACTTAAACACTAATAAAACACGGCAAGATTTGAAGAAAAAAAACTGAGACTGAGTTGAGTACCTTTTTCCATTTCTTTTTAACCTTAAACCACTTGGTGAAATCTCAATTTTAGGAATCAGTCTTAATTAGAATGTCCTTTAATAATCTTTACATATTTCTTTCATTAAGAAAACCAAAATGTTTAAGACTTCTCTGGTCTCCAAGATTTGTACAACTTCATTTTAAGTCAAAGCCACTATAGTCATTTAGTTCCCCCATGACCTGGTCCCTCACATGAAACCAAGAACAGATTTTGGTTTCATCTTCTTCAGCCTTGACAAGGAATAAAAGAGGAATTTCTACCTCTGTCATTCGGCTTCATCAGCATCAATATGTGCCTTCTACAACCCTGTAATATTTCTTCACTGTATGAATTATTTGCCTATTTGAGGCTTTTGTGTGTGTGTGTGCGCATGCATGCACACATGCACAAATATGCACACATACCTGCATTCTAATCCTCTCTCTTGCTTCTTCCAATCAGTAATTGGGCTGGTTATCAAGTGAACACAAATTGGCATCAAGAGCTCACCTTTGAAAAGTCTCCCTTTCCAATATTCCTCTGGTACAGAATTTGGAGTTAAAGATATTTTTGCTAAAGCCAGAAGATTTTTTTTCTTTAAAGACCAGGAAGTCTACTAGGCTAGCACATGGTTAAATAGTCATTGGAATAAATTCTTAAGACAGAGATATGCATTACTTTCATTACAGCTATTTTAGTTGTGCTAATGGCTCCATCAGGCAAGGAGGGGGTGCCGTGGGCTACTCAAAATCTAATGTTTCCATCTGTCTTCCAAGTTCCACCCTGAAGTGGGCATTTGTCTCACGTGTGTGTTCCTCTCTCCAGATTAAGAGGACAATATTTTTAAGCTTTGGGATTTAATGTCTTTGCTGTAGCCTTCAGAAAAACTCTCCCTAAAACCAATGACAGAGCTCCAACTGTATATTAGGCATCCCAGTCTCCACAAGGCAGGAGCCAGAAGAGTGCTGGAAACAGAACCAAGGGGGCTTTGGAATGGTTAATAAGAAAAGATCCTTAAATATATCATAAATATCTATTACCAGGAAGATTAATAATGATAAGAGTGTCCTTTACTTAGTGCAAGACTTTTCTCTCTTGATACTTAACCTACCCACGTAGGTGAGGTTAAGCTATGCACCTTAATGGGGGACTATTAAGACATCTATAATTAAAATGACTTTTCTTTGGAGTGCTCAAGGAAAATTACACTTTTTTTCCTCCTCACAATTGTGAAAACATAATAACAAAATAACTATAGCAAATTTGAAAAGATAATATCCCTAGTAATTCTATGCCCCTCAAAAAGGCATAAAAGCAACAGTTTCAATACAGGGCAGTCATACTTGGGAGCACAAGGACACCTGGAGAATGTATTCAAAATGCAGGTTCCCAGGCCCAACTCACATAAAGTATTTCTTGAGATTTGAGGTCAGGGTCAAAATTATACTTGTTAATAATGCCCCAGATATCTGGATGTTGTTAGAAGACAAAGCTTTGAGAAGCATCGAGATAGAATAGTCCCCCTTAACAGCAGGACACACATTTTAAGACCCCCAGTAGATGCTTGAAACCATGGGTAGTACTGAACCATATCTACACTATGTTTTTTTTCTATACATACATGGCCTAGGAAAAAGTGTAATTTAGAAATTAGGCACAGTAAGAGATTAACACTAACTCATAATAAAATAGAACATGTATAACAATAAGCCAACATCACTACTCTTGCACTTTGGGGCCAATATTAAGTAAAATAGGATTACCTGAACACAAGCACGGTAATATGGTGGCAGTTGGCCTTGTTACCTAGACAGCTCCTACGTGACTCACGGGTGGGAGGCATCTATAGCACGGATATGCTGAGCAGTGGCGTCCATAGCGTGGATGTACTAGACAAAGGACTGATGCACATCCCGGGCAGGACAGAGCAGGACAGCACAAGAGCTCATCACATGACTTAGAATGGTGTGCAAATTAAAACTTATGAATTGTTCATTTCTAGAATTTTCCTAATATTTCCAGACCAAGGTTGACCATGGGTAACTGAAACCAGAGAAAGTGAAATCGAGGACAAGGGGGACTACGGTAGAATGTTCAATTCCAGTTGCTTTTCTAATGCAATACATAGCTGTCAATATTCCAGTTCTATGCTCCAGCTTTTTGTTATCCACTACATATTTATGGACACTACATACATGGTTTTCAGCCTGGTGGAATTTAAGATATCATAATTTAAATCTTGAATCTTCTCTTAGACAAATTTATTCAGATAGATTCTCATAATACCATTGATGAGCCAAAGGGCAAGAACACATTTGTGGCTTCCACTGTGTTGCCATATTGCTTTCTCCTAGTGTTAAGAAATTTATATTTAAATCAGCAGATTAAGAGGGCCCAATATTCACCATAATGTCACCAGTAATGTGTATTTGAATATATTTTTACTTTGTTCTGCTAATTTAGTCAGTGCAAAATGGTATCTCAAGGTGAATTTAATTCACACTTCTTGCATTTCTGGTAAAGATTAATATATTTCTTTGTGTTTCTTTTCTATTTAAAAGTTTCCCAGAGATACAGTTAAATTTCTGAATCTCTCTTTGTGCTTAGGGCAAGAGTTATTGCTTCTTTCTTTATTGTCCAGGCAACCGGTACCTGACAAAGACTGAAACCCAGGGATGGAGGAGAGACTGCAGCTTGATTGAGCATCCAAGGACAGAGCTCTTGGCCAAACTACCTTGTGTCTTGAGGGTCTTAAGGTAAAACTTCTAGGTGGAAGACAAGGAGGAAGAAAGCATTCCAAGTCTGGTTCCCTGGGAAATAAGATTTGCATACAGGAGATTCTTGGGGCTTCCCTCAAGATCAAGACCTGGAGGTGGTGAAGAACTCTGGAGCTGGAAAACAGAGGTGTTTAACAGTTGCCAACTCACCAATGGCCCTGGGGAACTCTATAACTGGGATGGCTCTTTATTATTGTCCTGTTTTGAGGCAAGGGCCTTTCTTCTCAACTACATGGACCAGTCATTGGAGGCGGCTGCCCCAGGGAAAGGACAGTGAATTTAGGTGAGGCAACTATCTTCAGCTAAAAGCAAACCTTAGCAAGGCACTCAGCTGTGAACTGTCAGCTGCTAATATTATCAGCTGCTGATGGGATGAGAGCCTCAGTCCTGAAGAGTGCATCTCAGTGATACACCACAGCATTCGTTGCAGAAGGAATCTAATGTTTATTGAGGGCTCACAGTTTCTTTAAGGTATGCTCTTTTAGTTATCTACTGATGTGTAACAAAGCACTCCAAAGTTGGTTTAAGACAATGACAACAACAAACATTTAAATTCTGTTCATGTTTCTAAAAACTGGGCTGGGCTCAGCTGAAGAGTTCTTCTGCAGGTCTTGCTGCTGATCACTTACTGGCTGCATTCATCTGGTGAGACAGCTGTGGGCTGGGCTTAGCTGGGACAGTGGGATGGCTGGGCTTCTGTTGTTCTCTCCAAGGAGTTTCAGGGCCTCTTTCTCTCGATATGACCTTGTCGCCTACAGGCAGCCCCTTCACACCATCTCTCCTGCAAACTAACTGTTTTCCTACATGGAGAATTAGGACCAGGACCCAGCCTAATATTTAGAACAGGGTTTCTCACCTCCATGATGTTGACATTTTGGGCTGCATACTTATTTGTTGGAGGGAGGAGGTGGTAGATACCCAGGCTGTGCATTGTAGAATATTTAGCAATATTCCTGGCCTTCATTCACTGGATGCCAGTAGCACTTCCCTAATTGTGATAATAAAAGTGTGTCTCTCAACACTGCCAAATGTCCCCTTGTGGGGAAAATTATCCCCGTTGAGAATTAGGGCTTTAGAAGGACTTGCACTTTAGCACTCTTAGAAGTTCCACCACATCCTATTAACTAAAGCAAGCCATAGACACAGTCCAGTTTCAAAGCACAAGAATACCAGGATGCACAATTCACTGGGGCCACCAATGTTGCAGACTACCATAGTTCTATGAGGTTAATATTTATATCCCCATATTCTAATGTCAAACTAAGGCTCGTTCTTTCAAGGCCATGCAGAAAGTCACAGGACCAAGATTCAATCCCAGGTCTGCCTGACAGCAAAGTCTATACTGCCCCTGCTACCTTGAGCCACTTACAGCAGGTTCCAAAGGGTTACTTTTAGAAATGAACTACCCTCAATCTCCTGAAAAAATGTGTTAGAGAAAAGAGAGAGGCTTTGCTCAGGCTTAGTTACGGTTAATAAAGAAAACATTAATCACTTGAAGTGCTATTTTGGAGCTCATGAAACTGAAATGAAGCGCAATATGAAATGTTCATTTATTTCTGAGGGGTTTATTTTGTTAACATTCAATCACTCAATCCTCTTTGCCTTATTTATAAAGTTTGAGGGAAAGAACACTTTTTAAAAAAATATGTAAAGTTCTGTTCTGAATGATATAATAACAGCCTCCTTCTATTAGAGATAGAGGTCATAGATCATAGGTGGAGCTGGGACATCGCTCCCCTGCCCACTAGGGCAGTTCTTTTAAGGGAGGTCCACACCAGTGCTGTGTATTATAGCCTCCTGTAGGCTCTTATGAGACTTCAATTTCTGTTGGAGCATGAACTGCCTGGATTTAAAGCTCCTCTCCACTGCTCACTGGCTATATTGCTATTGATGCGTCACTTAAATTTCTGGAGCCTCAGTGTCTTTATCTATAACTTGGGTAAAATGACTCCTACTCTGTGGGATTTGTGTTGAGGAAATGAAATAATGCATGTGCATTTGGTTCCTTCACTGTCCCATCTTGAGAAAGGCAGGATCTGCAGTAGATAATAGATACAACCAAGAGAAGGTCATGGGCCGATTAACTCAAGTCTTCTCTTTGCCAGGCAGGACAACCGGTGTGAGAGTGAAAGGTACCAGAGGGCTGGAGCACATTCTATTACCACCGTGACTTGTGGGTCTTGGGCCACCTCCTCTCCCACACATCAAGGCAGCAGACACATAAAGAGCAAAAGTGAAGCAGAGACAGTGATCCTCCTTCATTCCACTCCCAATCTCCCAGACAGGTGATGGAAATTGGAGAGAAAAGAGCAGAAAAGAGCAAAGAAGTCAATTATCATCCACTATTTGGTATAGTCCCACTACTTCCAAAGTGTTTCTCAAAACACAGCCTGTGAGTTCTTCTCCATGTTGTATTTATTACACATTTGTAAAGAAAACTTTTTTATCTGGAATGCTCAGGAACTTGATGTCCTGATTAACCAAATGTTCTATTTAACTGGAAGGCACCAGATATTGCATAGTTTTCAACATTGAAACATGGCAACTGGTTTTTTTAAACAAAATTTTAATCAAACATAACTTAATATTTATCGGAGAATTTGTAAGTCATGGTAGGTTTTTGTATTGTCTCCAAGGCAGAACAAGAAGCATCCCTTTTTCAAGATTTATACAGGTGAACATGTGGATTATTAGAGGTTTCTTACTGATTTAGTAAAAACGACATGGATTTCCTTCATAGTTAAGCAGATCTAGGTTGAGTCCTAGTTTAAACATATGAGCTGCGGGCTGTTAATCTCCACAAGCCTTAGGTTTTTAATCTGTAAATTTGATACAATGGCATTGCTTTAAGGAAGTAATCAGATCATGATTATAAAGCCCTTTGCTCAATGCCTGACTCATAGTTAAGTCAACTTTGTTTTGTCCATTCTCTTCTTTCGGGTTCTACTCCAGCTACATGGAAAATAAACGTGCAGAGAAAGTGTCAGGAAACACTGCAGACCACCTAACTGTTCTCATATAGGAAATGTTGACAGGGCAAGGACATTAAGATATGATAAATTTTGCATTTCTGCAGTGCATACTACACACAGCCATTTCAGCTAATCATCATGGCCATCCTGTGGTTGGGAACACAGGCTTGGAGAGGATGGTTCAGGATGCCAGTCTTACTTGTGAGTAAAATTTTTTATGTGCATGTTTAGTAAAACTGCTGTTTGGATGAAAGATTCTTATAGTTGCAAAGTCAGAGGTGCATTGCCAGTGCTTTGGTTAAAGTTCTTGCAGTTCATCCCCAAATTGCCTTCCTGCAGCGAGTTAGGAAAAGGCATTATAAAGTTCTTGCCTGTGCCTCCTTATGTGGTCCCAGAGATACACACAGTGGCTTTTCTCTGTCATCAGTCATCCTTGGGCATCAACTGTCTATAAGAAATTTTGCCTCAGATACAGAGCCTAATCACTGAACCAGTTTTTATTTGGCTAATTATTTCTCAATGATAGCTAAAGGCTCCATTTTATTTGCTGGCCCATCGTTTGTCTAATTATTAATGTCCCTCAAATTCAATTAGGTCAACTGATGACAGGTCTTGGCTCAGACAGGTGGACTCACCAGTGCGGACCCTCTTGCCTGTGTCTCAGCCACCTGAAGGGTTTTTCCATGACAATTTGCTCAAGCAAGATGGGGTCAGCTGTCCAGGGAGCACTCGGGAAGCAAAAGGTTGTCTTGAAGTGTGAACAGAAGAGCTCAATGGGCATCAGTGATGCAAGAAAGCTCTGGCAAAAGCAAATAGGGTCATGCCAGGCAGCACTGGGGGTAGCTCCCCCATATCCCGGAAAAGCTGCAAAGTAAAGGTTCGCAAGACATGTGGTTTCTTAAGAGCCAAAAATGGAGAGGGCTTTTCTTTTGAAAGACCTGCTCCAGCAGAGCCTGCTGTGTTTTTACTTGCTCTGGATGAGATGCTTCCTGTTGGGTGTACTTGCCCAGGTACCAGGATAGTGTGAGGGCTGAGGGCAGCACTGTTCCCACAGCTCTGAAAGGGAAGAGGCGAAGAGGCCAGGGGAAAACAGTCTATGTCCTGCCAGGTTAAACACAACTTCTTGCAGTCAAGCTGGATAGCAGAAAAACAGGGAGAAGTGGGATTTTCTATCTGCTGGGTTGGTCTGCAGTCCCCCACACATTCAAGACGAGGCAGCGGTGGAAGGAGGGTGCATGGACTTATCATCCAGTGTCCGTGGTTCAGTTTCACCTCTGCCTCCTATCCGTTGTGTGATCTTGGGTCCCCGTTTTATCAAAGTGAAATGGGAATAAGACTACTGACCTCGTATGGTGGCTGTGAAGATAAACGGAACAATATACAAATAGGGTACACAATGGTACTTCGTAAACTGTTCTTTCCCCTTCTCTCTAACTTCCTTCTTTTGGTTCCAAAGCCTTATCCAACTGTGACTGACTCCTCACTAAAATACCAGCCCCCTTTCTCCCTAGAAACAGAACCCTGACTTAATTTGGAGGCTGCCATGAGCCCAGCTGAACAATGACATCTATCAGCCTGCCTTGCAGAAAGCGGTGGCCAATGAGACATAAGTAGAAGGTACTGAGTGGGGTTTGGGAGGAAGCATCTTCCGTTTCTTGCCTCCTCTTCTCCTATCCAAGAACCATGCCTAAGCTCAGATGGAGCTGGCACAAGCCTAGTGCCAGGAAGATGTTTGCTGCCTAAATAACCTGAAAAATAAAAATAGAAACAATGAACACTTATGGGCTTGAACATTGCCTGTCAATACACTAAGGCCTTTATTTGTTTTATTTAATTCAATCCTATGAAATTTTGTTTTACTAGTATTAATTTCTATTTAAAAATTAGGAACCTATGGTACAAAGTACATGAATAAATATACGTAGGCATGAGTGAATGAGTCAGTGCATGAACAACAGGGCCCATTGGAATTCAAGGAGAATTAGGGGTAAAGGGTAGGGATATTGGTTTTCTATTACTACTATGCCAAATTACGCTAAACTTGGTAGCTTCAAATAACACAAATGTATCATCTTACAGTTCAACAGGTTAGAAGCTCAACATGAGTCTCACTGGGCTAAAATCAAGGTATCAGACGGGCTGGGTTTTTTTCTGGAGGCTGTAAGGGAGAATTTGTTTCCTTGTCTTTTCCAGCTTCTAGAGGCCACCCACGTTCCATTCCTCCACTCATGACCCCTTCCTCCATCTTCACAGCAGCAAGGTCAGGTCAGGTCTTTCTCATGCTGCTTTACTACCCAGTGTCTCTGATCTCTTCCCCTTTGAAGGACCCTGAGATTACACTGGGCCCACCCAAATAATTCGGGATAACCTCCCTTTCTTAAGGGCAGCTGATTAGCAGCCTTAATTCCATCCACAATTTTTATCTTCCTTTCGCCATGAGAGGTAAGGGATTTGCAAGTTCCAGAGATTCAGACGTGGACGTCTTAGGGGGCCATTATTCCATCCACCACTGTATGTTTCTGCAGAAGCTTCTTTGTTATTTATGAAAACATTTTTACAACAGGAGCAGTTTCAGCATGACCCTCACTCCATGGCAGGGTGTCAGATCTCAGTTCAAAGGTTACAGGATGGTGGGATGCTGCATGCACAGGATGCTGTGGCCACAGCATCTCATGCTGTCATCCTCTCCAGAAGACTCCCAGGCATCCCTCTGGGGGAAGGAGGCAGGTAACACTGGCCAGTCATACACAGGGGCTATCTGAGGGCTCTGGAACGTTCCTTATCTTATTCATTGGCCTTTGGCCATGTGGAATTGATTTTCAGACATTTCAGAAGAAAGAGGGAGGAGAGCTTTCCTCCCTCTTGAACCAGGGCCAGTCTTCACATTCACTTTACCACTGCAGGTCTTTAATTAGACATGAAATTCAGGTTTTAAGTAGGAAACTGATGTCCTGAAAGGGAGAGCAACTAGTCCCAGGTGACTCAGCTACTAATTGACAAAGCAGAAAACTGGAGTCTGGGACTTTCTACCCCGCTGACCCTGAGCAAGTCTGACTGTGAGCCCACCAGTGCCCATGACGAGACCCCTCTCTGAATCAGCGCCTTTCATGCCAAAACAACCTCTTCATGCCCTTACAGATGTTTATATCCTTTTTCTCTATCAAAACCCATGCTGCCCCTAGGAAGTACTTCTCCTGCCTCCCCGAGGAGCCCATTTGACTTCTTGTCCTTCCTCTTGTGCAGGTCAGTCTTGGTCATTTCATGTCAACTGGTATTTCTATTTTGTCCATGATGCGTCTCTCTCACTTGACCTTGAGCTCCCGAAGGACAATTCCATCTCAATTATCCTTTACTTTTCCATTGCCACTTCCGCTCCTTCCAGAATATCTTTCCCACTGTAGAGCACCCCTAAATCTTTGCTACTTAGATGCTTTGAGTTGATCCTACTTTAAAAATTTGTTCCTTTTCACATTTCACCTTAGTGCAGCAGCCCCAAAGAAAATCAGCTACCTTTCCTCCAATACAGCCATGATTTTTAAAAATTATTGTCATCTTTAGGATCCACTCTGTTCCTACTCAAGTTTCTATCCAGGAATGTTTTGCAAGAAATGCCTCACTACTCTTCCATTAAAAAACAGAAGACAAATTAGTTGGTCCTTGAGCCATCACTGGTGTTTCTGCAAGGTGAACCACTCAAGGTAGCAAAAAAGCAAAGCACATTCGTGAGGCTGAAAGGTGATATCCTCCTCCCCACAAGGCTCTGCCCACTGAAAACCCAAGGAGCAGATGGAGCTTTTATGCCTAGCTGAGCAATGCTAAACACCATTGTTTGAACAGAAACAGAGGTCAAATCTTAGAGATAAACAGGTAATACAATTAATCCCTTTTCACTTCCATCTTCCTCCTGCCTAGCACACTGAAAACAAACTTTGCTCATTCTTTCCAGGGTCTTGAGTGGTGCCACGGGTTACCATGCTGCCTGTGGAGCTCTCTAGATAAAAGGCCCATGTGTCCGTTTTGTGGATGGAAAGACTGAGAACAGACAAGGCACATGTTTCCAGAGTTGCTGGGGTGGCAGGAACACCCCGTCACATCTGCATTTCTCCATTTTCAGTACATCTAAACAAAGAGGATCAGACACCTGTGAACCGATGAGCACAGAACTAATCTAAAGGACTTTGCCCAGACCTACAATGACTTTGGGAAGCTGCACTTAGTACCTACATTATACTAAGAACCAAACTGGGTACTTTCACATTTCATTTAATCTTCACAACAACTTTGTGTAGTACACATGTCACTTTGTAGCTGACAAATCTCAGACTCAAGGAAATAAAACTACTTGCCCAAGGCCCCTCCATGTAAAAAGTAATAAAACAAAAAATTAAATAGTTTATTCATTCATTTTGATTCACTCTTCAACAGATATTTATTATAAAATGACCTGGTGCCAGGCACTGTGCCCATAAACAAAGCAGGCCACTAGAAGAAGCCAGTGTTCCTGCAGGGCTGGGCTTTGATCTGAAGATAGCCTGGTGTGTCCTAACCAGACACAACATACTGCGTAGCTGGGGCTGGGTCCAAGGAGGAACCTATGCCCTGGAAAAATCTGTCTCATCTTGGCATTATTCTCTTTCCAAGGGTGAAGGTAATTACAGGATCACTAAATACAATTTTGCAACAAGACCCTTCATTTCTCCCAAACCTGACAGAAATGCCCCAGCAGAGCACACTAACTCACAGTCACTTCTTTGGCAGCAGTACTAGACCAGAGCAGGGATGGCCAAAAGTCAGTTGGGCATGTTGGGTAGACACTGGACTTACAGTATAATTCTAGGGTTCAAGTACTTACCCTGACACTCTCTGGCTTTACAGAGGTTATGTCACCTCTCAAACACTTCATTTCCATAAAGTCAAATAGTAATTCCTTTCTTGCACGCTTAGGGTGAAAACTAGAGGAAATGACATATCTGGCACAGAGCAGGTACTTTTTAAGACAAATGAGAAAAAAGATCCACCAGGCTGGCCAGACACTGTGGGAAGTTTGCAGAGACAGAAGAAAGCAGTGTGTGCACTTGGGGGAGAAACCAGGAGAGACCTCAGGAGAGCCTCGACCTCAACCAGGAGAAAGCACCTAGGTTCCAGCTGTGGGTCACTTGGTTTATACCATTTGCTAGGAAGAGTGGATGGAGCTCCTTGAAAGCTCCTGCCTGTCCTAGGCAAGCCCACTCAGGCTAGGACCATTTTAGACATACCCATATTTAGAAATCTTTTCCTGGAACTTCTGGACCAGTTTTGCAAAAAGACAATGATACCCAAAGCCCCAGAATACAACTAAAAGTGTTGTACAGAGATAGATGGTGGACAAGTCATGGGTCAGCCTAGGAGAGAACTATGGTCGTTGATGTTTGGGACATTCTTTGAGGTGTTCTGGGGTTTGAAGACCAGTATCCTCTCTCTCTTTGGGAGAGAAAGGAGGAGGAATCCCCAGTGAGAGGTGAGTTTGCCCAATTCTAAACAAGATCTCCTCCTTTCCCCATATTGTGTTTTGTCCCCATGGGACGCAGCAAGCATCAGAACCACCCACACATGATTTTAGACATAGGGAGAAACCAGGCCTGGAACACACAGTTAAAAATGCTGTCATGCTAGCCATAGCCCAAAGAACTTACACAGCAGCAAAGAGCAGGATTCTCTATGAGATCTCTTTGTCTTGAGCCCCACCTCTTCCTCCCTGCTCGCCCCTTTGAGCCTTTGCTTTTGTTATTCCTTCGTTGAGAAATGTCCTCCCGTTTTTTTGTTTTCTAAAAAATTCCTACTCACCTTTTAAAATCACTTTGTGCCATCTCCCCATGGAGCATCCTCCATCTCTCCAGGCCAATGCATAGATGGACAATGACAGAAAGGCCATTATCCCTTCAGATCCCATAAGTCCATGTCTCCCTTCTCTGTGCACCTGCAGCTGCAGGCTCTTGTCTATAAGAGGACACTCACAAACTCACACAAGGCAAATTCTTTTAGGGCATGGATGGGAATACTTAGTGCTATATGATAGGGCCCAGCTCCGTAACAAGCATATAGTAGGTACTTAACAGTTAAATGAATCTGTTGGGCAAGAACACTCCTGCATGGGAGGCAAACCCAGGAGTGAGCTCAGACCTCCTGACTTCTAGTTCAGCATCCTCACTTGTCAGTCTGGTCCAGAGTGGACCAAAAATTAAGGCCTTATTCTTTGTTTTTTTCATCAAGGTCCAATTTTTTTCCAGATATAGTCCTAAGAATCAGAATTACCAAAAAAATAAATAAGTAAATACAGTCAGGCATGCTCAGCTACTCAGGAGGCTGAGGTGGAAGAATTCCTTGAGCACCAAGTTTGAGGTTACAGTGAGCTATGGTCATACCACTGCACTCCAGTCAGGGTGACAGAGTGAGACTCTGTCTCTAAATAATAATAATAATAATAATAATAATAGATAGATAGACAGATACATAGATAAATTCAAACTAACAACATGACCATGTTGGGGAACAAGTAACTCAGGACGGCATCCCTTTTGGCCCTCAACCCCAAGAACATCCAAGCAAGGTGGGACCTTATGGGTCATCTCATCCTCCTCCTCCACTGCCTCCAAAACCCCTGGTTAAGCGAGGACAGGGAAGGGCATCCACTCAGCTGAGTTCTTCCGGGGACAGCATGCTCATCACCTGCTTCCTAAGCATCCCCTTGACTTTAGTAATAATAAGAATTATTGATGTGTTTTCAGCTCTTGTCACGTGCCTCCTGTGCCACAAATACCTACCTTAGCTCTTTGACAAAACAACTTTTGAAAGTCAGGTGTGACCATTCTCACTTTCCTAGATGTGGAAACTGAAGTCAAGAGGTGTTTATAATTTTATCTGATTGCAGAGCTCAGACAACCAGGCCACAAAATAAGGTCCCGGTAGTTCCAAAGCCGTTGTGTTTCATCGCCATGGCTCACCATGACATAAGAAATGGATATATTTAGTCTCTGCCCCTGTTTCCTGGAACACAGCTCCTAAGTTTCTTGAGATCTCCAAAGTGATAGGTGTCTTTTTATATGCCAGTGACATGACAGTGGCTGGGGGCTCCTGGATAGTCTCAGGATTCTGGGCTGGTTGTCAGGGGAACCAACCAAGTCATTACACGGTTGGAATTTTCAGCTCCAGCCTCTCCCATTCAGCCTCCTGGGAGGAGAGAGAAGGAGCTAAAGATTGAGTTGATCACCAATAACCAATGATTTCATTAATCATCATGGCTCACACAGATGGTACAAACACAGGCAGAAGAGGCCAGGACAAGCTGGTTTCCCCACTGACAGCCTCTACCAAGCTCAGCAGTTGCCTGGACTGCGCAGTAACACTTATGCTGGATTCTGTGTGGCTGAGGCTGCTAGCCGACTTCCTGCACCAGCCAGGCCTGGGTAGCCTCAGACCCTCTTCTGGACAGCTCTGAGGGATGTCAGCTTGTGCCCTCCCCTGCCTTACGCTCAGGCCCAGGCTTGGTGACACATGTCCATTACCACCTGCCTCTGCCTGAGCTACCATTAGTGTCTAAAATATTGTCAGATCCAGCATAAGCCATGACAGGCTACAATTAATTAATTAATCAGTTATACTCTATCAGCAACTGCAGACCAGAAATGTTAAATAAACAAATTAAAGGCTGTGTTTCACTAAAGCTCAGCCCAATGAAATAATAATGAGGCAAAGTTAACTGCTCTGAACAGAGAAAGGAAGAGTATTATAAGGAAATATACCAGCACAGTAATATCCTTTAAAAATACAGAGGGTATACTGCCGCAAAAGCAGCTATGACTGTCCCATGCTCTGCTCAGGGAAGGTGGTAGGAATGCAGCAGGTGCTGCAGAAAGAGCAGGGCTCTGTAGACAAAAGTGGACTTGAAGCCCAGCTTCACTGCTTATCAGTAAAAATCCATCCCAGCTTTGCCACTTATCAGTAACTCCCTTCACTGCTTTGAGCCTCAGTTACCTAACTTATTAAAAGGAAGAGGAGGAGAATACTATCAGTAATTGTTTGGATTTTTTTTTTTTTTTTTTTTTTTTTTTTTTGCCAGAGCCCAAGGGCACTTTTTCAGACACACTATTAGGACTGGGCCAGAGTCTTTCTCAGGTTGCAACAGGGTAGTTCTGGGGCCAGACACAGTGGCTCACGCCTAATCCCAGCACTTTCGGAGACTGAGGCAGGAGGATGGCTTGAGCCCAAGAGTTCAAGACCAGCCTGGGCAACCTAGGGAGACCCCATCTCTACAAAAATAAAAAAAATTAGCCAGGCATGTTGGCCTGCACCTGTAGTCTCAGCCACTGAGGAGGATGAGGTGGGAGGGTCGTTTGAGCCCAGGAGGTCAAGGCTGCAGTGAGCTGTGATTGCACCACTACACCCCAGCATGGGAAGCACAGTGAGATTCTGTTAAAAAAGAAAAGAAAGAAAAGAAAAGAGAGAGAAAGAGAGAAAGAGAGGGAGGAAAGGAAAGGAAAGGAAAGGAAACAAGCCAAGAGCTCTGGAATCTTTGAGAAAATGGGTCCATCATTATTGCAGGATCTGTGGTTACTCATCCAGGAATTGCTATCTGGGCAGTTTTCCAGCATTCTTGTTGGATGATAACGTTCTTTCCCAAGGCTTTATCCATATAGATCAGCATCTGTGGGGCCATGATAGAAGGTTAGCTATTTTTCTTCTAAGGCCTTCTGTTTAGAACCTGACTGTGGCCCCCAAGGAAGGCACCCTCACTTTTACCTGGGGCAGCAGCATCTTAATCCTCTGCTAATGATACCATCATGCTGGCATCTTGTGGGATTTTTTTCCCCCCTCTACATTGAAGCCTCCAGTCCCTGTTCTGGCATAAACAGGCAGACAGGGATTCTGAAAGCCAAGGAGAAAAGATCCCAGAGAATGTTCTGGAAGTTGGAGAAGAGGAAGCCAGAGGGCAAGAGCTACACCATGGGTCGGTGACAGAGGCAGTCCCACACTTCCCTCCACCCGCCACAGTGTGGCTTTGAGGGGTCAAAGGGAGGATTCCAGTCCTGCTCAAACCAAGGAAATGGTCATTATCTTAGGGCATTGCTTCCAATTAAGGTCCTTCTAAGGGTGATGGGTTTTCCCTGCCAGATACAGGTAGAGAATTTAGGTGACAAATGGTTTGTATTATTCTGCTGACACCCTTTTTATCTTCCCAGTAATTCCGGAAGATCATAGCACTCTATAAGGTCAATGGATAGCTGTGGGCTGGTATTTGTGTGACCCACAAGGGTCTCCTGGAATTCTACCCCTCACACATATCTTTACAGCTGGGACCTGGATGCTGAACTTGGTTATGCCCAAAGATAACTAGTAGTAAAACTACTAAACTACTAATAACACTAATGATAGGCCGGGCATGGTGGGCCACGCCTGCAGTCCCAACACTTTGGGAGGTCAAGCCTGGTGGATCACTTGAGGTCAGGAGTTCGAGATCAGCTTAGCCAACATGGTGAAACCCCGTCTCTATGAAAAATACAGAAATTAGCCAAGCGTGGTGGTGGGTACCTGTAATCCCAGCTAATCAGAGGCTGAAGAAGGAGAATTGCTTGAAACTGGGAGGTAGAGGTTGCAATGAGCAAAGATGGAGCCAGTGCACTCCAGCCTGGGTAACAGAGTGACACTCTGTCTCAAAACAAAACAAAACAAACAAAAAAACTAATGACAGCGGTGGCACCATTTATTCATGACTTACCTTGTGCCAGGCCCTCTGCTAAGTGCTTTACATGCATTAATTCAGGGATTAGCAAACGAAGGCCACTGGTTATCTAAAGTGTTATTGGTACAGCCACACCCATTCATGTGTGTGTTGGCTATGGCTGCTTTAGCACTACAATGGCAGAGTTGAATGATTAAGACTGAGCACATATAGCCCACAAAGCCTAAAATATTTCCTCTCTAGCCTTTTTGAGAAAATTTTTGCCAACCTATGAATTAAAATTATTGCATTCTTACTCAAGCACAGTAACCTGGGGATCATTGTGACCATTTTATATAAAAATAAACTGGGATTTGGAAAGATTAAATACTTGGCCCAATGAGACATAGTTTATAAGTGGCAGAGCTGGGGACTGAAACCTTGGGCATCAGAGTTCAAGTCTGGGAATCCTAGGATCTATCCACACCTTATTTTGAAAGTGAATCAGAAATGACCAACATATTGGCATGAACTTGCTAAGGCCTCAGAAGCCCTGGCCCACAGGAGTGTTAGGAGATTGGGGGCCACTGATCAATTGCGATAACCAAAGCCCCAGAGCCTAGGAAGGACAAGAGTGTTACAGGTATTACTCTGACTCTGGAAAGGAGTCGGGCCACTTCCTTTCCCAATCTCTGTGAATGCTGAGGGGTTGGTACCTGCTGGATTGATAATATGATTCCGCATCATACAGAACAATTTGTTACCTCACATCATGAACGTTGCAGGCCTTATACCCGTGCATGGTGTGTAGCATATACTTAAACTTATTTGCAAAGGTCACCCTCTCTTTTTTAAGTCTCTTTTCCACACTGAGTGGAGAATAAATGGGAAAACAACCTGTCATAGTCCTACAACTTCATAATTTCAAAAGTGCATTAGGAGCTGAGTAGTCAACCTCTCTTTGGGACCCTCATCCTCCCAGGACCATCCTCCTGCCTGGTTCTCTTGGACCCCAGGTTAAGCATCCCTGCCTGCTTCCAGGGCTCTTCATAGGATAAGGTGGCCACACTCCTTGGGTCCAGGGATTTCCTATTCTGGCTGGCTTCAAAGCTTGCCAAGGCGAGGCACAGTAGCTCATGACTGTAATCCCATCACATTGAGAGGCTGACGCAGGAGGATTGCTTGAGTCCAAGAGTTCCAGACCAGCCTGAGCAACATAGTGACACCCTCATCTCCACAAACAATTTTTTTTAATTAGCCAGGCATAGTGGTGTGTGCCTATAGTCCCAGCTACTCAGAAGGCTGAGGTAGCAGGATAGTTTGAGCCTGAGAGTTCGAGGCTGCCGTGAGCCATGGTTGCACCACAGTATTCAGCCTGAGAAACAGAGTAAGAGCCTGTCTAAAAAAAGAAAAGAAAAAAACTTGCTCATTTGTCTGCAAATACAGATGACCCAGCCCATCCCAAAGAGTACGCTGTGCCAGGTCTGAGGTGGAGCTCAGGATCTGTTAAAGTCCCACAGGACCAGTGGGCCTGAGGACTGGTGCTCTGTCTGGTCCCATATGTCTCAGCTAAGTTCTTGATATGCTTGCAAACCCTAGTTTACCTGGAGGGTCTGCTCCATGTTGTCGGTATCCTCCTTACAAAAAAAAAAGAAGTCAAAGGCATGTCACAGCCCCAGGGCTGTGAAGGCTTCTGATTAGAAATTTCCTCCAGTCAAAAATCACGGCTGAGCAGGTTGGTTGCACAGGTATTCATTAACATAATGAAAACCTGACATTAAAAGGATAACCTCACAGTCTAAGAGGTTTGCCAGAATATCTCTCAGTCTGTTCAAATTGTCATTATTTAACTCCTATATCTACAACAATTTCAGTAAAACTGATAATGATATTTAAATGGGAGATGAAGTTGGATTTTCATTATTGCAAAGAAATAGGATTTGGAAACCTGGTGATGGAATGCACAGCAAATTTCTGTCAAAAGCAAAAAAAAAAGAGAGAAACTTAAAGCTTGAATGATGATACAAAGCTTGCAGTTTTATCTAGGTGAAAATTCAGGTCCTGCCATCTTCTAAATATCACTATCTTGGGCAAATCCTGTAATGTCCCTAATCCCAGTATCTTCTTTAATAAAATGAGGATATTAATACCCTCTTTTCCCCACTCCAGAGTGATGGGAGAACAAAATATTTATGCAAGTTGCTTGGAACATGGATGGTCCTCAATGAACACTTTCTTGGAACAAGATTATTTCTTCTGTTGAGAAGTTTGCAGCCTGGTAGGAGGGAAAATTCACACACAGAAATTATGATCAAAGGGGGTAAAACAGGAGGGTAGGTAGGAAGGTCAACAGAAGAAAACAGGCAAAAAAGGAAGAGTTCAGGAAGAAGGAAGTATGCAATCTTGGTCTTGGAGGGTGGATATAGTAGGAGGGTGCAACATTTAAGAGAGTCAAGGCAAGCCTAGTTGAAGAATGGCAAAGTTGCACACACTGGTCAGCTGCACAAGCCCTGAGGTTTCAGCCGTAAATGAGGAAACTCTCTGCTGATGGAGCAAGAAACTCAGGGTGCATTTATTTTCCAACCAGGATAAACAGCAGCATCCTACCCAAAGCGGGAAGAGGCTTTATCTCCAAGACCAGCTGGGAACTGAATAACTCAGTTATTTATGCCTTCTCTGCAACCAGCCACGGGGAGGGGCACTCCAAAGCCTAAAGCTGCTGTGGCCTTCTCTTAGGAGGCAAAGAGAGCCAGGATAAGGAGGCTTGGAGAGCCAGAAAACAATGAGTACAGCCCAGGCAAATGGGAGTTTCACCAACACCAGAAAACACTCAGCAAGTAGAGAAAACCCGAGCCAGCCCATCAGTCTGACGCATAAGGCCTTCTATTTTTATACAACATACACTATTTTTATCTCCTTATAGAAAGGGAAACTCAAGGGGTGTGGAGAATGGGTTTTTCTAGAGTT